TGCCCCAACGTCTCTGTGCCTTATTCCAGCGAAGGAGCACTCATCACGGGCCTGCCCCGCGCCGGGCACTGTTCTGCACGCTGGGGGCTACGTGGTGAGCCAGGTGGTGCCTACACCCGAGCGGAGACAGAGGATGGGGCAGGGACCCAACAAAATCAGCAAGTTATCAGTGTGTTCACGGGCGATACATGCTGTGGAAAGAAAGGGACAGCGTGCGGGGCCGGAGAGGGGCGCGCGGGCTGCCACCGTTCGACACAGCATGGCCAGGGTTTGCCGAGAAGTTGGTGTCTGGGCAAGAACTTGAGACCAAGAGCTCTGCAGGTATCCGGGGATGAGTGTTCCAGGCAAAAGGAACAACCAGCACAAAGGCCCAGGGGCAGGAGGGTGCTTGGTGGGCCTATCTCATGGGCTGCTAGAAAGAGTAAACTCGTTAATGTGTGGATGCTTCCGGCACAAAGGAAACCCTCAAGACACCACTGCTGTTAATACTGCTACGAGAGCTTTTATTCCCAAGGTCCCAGAAGCACCAGGGCATTCCGGGTCCAGGGACATGTCCTGAGGTGGGAGCTGCCTCCGGGCCCGGTGACCACCAGCTGGCCAACCTTGCCCAGCGCAGGCGAGCCCCCTCCTCCACATGGCGGGCAGTCCCAGCCCACACACTCTCCAAATCGTCTTCCCACGGGACCGCTAGCCCCGGGCGCACGGCCGCCGCACTGCCCTTCGTCAGGAGCACTGGAATTGGCCCTGCACGGAGCCCAGCCTCAGAACGCACACATGCTCGGCGGCGCGTGTATACCGTGAGCGCTCACACGCACATGCTCACACATGAGCACAATGTACACACGGTGTACTGTGCACACCAGCTGCGCACACGTGCGTACACACGCATGCTTGAACACGCGTACATACGGTGAGTGTTCACACGCACACTCACACACAAGCACAATGTACACACGGTGTACTGTGCACACCAGCCACGCACACGTGCGTACATATGCATGCTTGAACACGCGTATATACTGTGAGTGTTCACGTGCACACGCTCACACACAAGCACAATGTACACACGGTGTACTGTGCACGCCAGCTGCACACACGTGCATACACACGCATGCTTGAACACGCATACATACTGTGAGTGTTCACATGCACGCTCACACACGAGCACAATGTACACACGGTGTACTGTGCACACCAGCCGCGCACACATGCGTACACATGCATGCTTGAACACGCGTACATACTGTGAGTGTTCACACGCACATGCTCACATGCGAGCACAATGTACACACGGTGTACTGTGCACACCAGCCGTGCACACGTGCATACACATGCATGCACGAACATGATCACATACCATGAGTGTTCACATGCACATGCTCACACATGAACACAATGTACACACCAACTTTGCACACGCGTGCACATACATGCATAAACACACGTACATATGGCGAGTGCTCACACACTTGCACATATGCACACAGCCGTGCACACACGTACACACATGTGCTTGAATATGCATACACACCGTGAGTGCTCACACACAAGCACAATGTACACACAGTGTACCGTACACACCTGCCATGCACACATGCATGCATGAACACATGTACACACCGTGAGTGCTCACACACAAGCACAATGTACACACAGTGTACCGTACACACCTGCCATGCACACATGCATGCATGAACACATGTACACACCGTGAGTGCTCACACACATGCACAGTGTACACATGGTGTACTGTACACACCAGCTGTGCACACGTGTGTACACATGCATGTGTGAACACATGTACATACCGCGAGTGCTCACACATGTGCACACCAGCTGTGCAAACATGTACACACATGCTTGAACATGTGTACATACGGTGAGTGCTCACACACAAGCACAATGTACACAGGTGTGCTGTGCACACGTGTGTACACATGCATGCTTGAACATGTGTACATACCATGAGTGCTCACTCGCATGGGCTCACACACAAGCACAGGTACACACGTGTACTGTTCACACCAGCATGCACACATGTGTACACACATGCAGGCGTGAACGTGCACCTGTGCATGCTCAATATTCGGCACATACACATGGGCACACGCATGCACACACAATGCACATACACAATGCATGCACTCACATGTGTGCACACACTTGTATCCACAGACGCACAAGCACATAGTGCTCACACAATGCATGACACGCATACACACACGATACAGTACACACGTCCTTGCACATGTGCACATGGAGGTGTGAACACGAGTGCAAACACACACATCTTCCTGTCCTCTTCTGAGTACCACTTCCAAACATTTCCTTCTTTAGCATCTCCCGTGCGAGCCCCGATTGCCCAGCCTCTGTCCCCAAGTGCTCCTCCTCCGGCAGCCTGCCCCCCAAGCCCTCTGTCCCCCACCTAATGATGGACACGGGCATTGGTATTTTGTTGCTGGCATCTTTTTTGCACAAAATCGCTTCCACCCGGTCTTCATTCCTCAAGCAATCAAGGAAAGATTATTTTTGCTCTTTCCATTTTAAAGACAAGCGGCCTGAGGGGCCAACAGAGCTGCTGGGATTGGCTCAGGACTCCCAGTGAGTGCGGGTCAGGCTGACCTGGTCCTGGACTGGTGCTCCAGATCCCAGAGTGCCCTGCTCAAATGACAATCCCACCTGGGGGACCCCCGACAATCCCACACTGAAGTCTCACTCTGACCTCTGGATCTTCCTCCCCATTGCGACCCCACCCCGTGCTTCTCCAGCTCCTGGCTGGAAATTTGGGGGTGTTCTAGCCATCTCCTTCCCCATGTCCTGCATATCAGCACAACTGTCAGCTTCTACCCCCCCCACCCCAGGTCCTCCTCCTCCCGCCCTGCCAGGCTAGCATCAGCTCCCTCCAGGGTGCCTGCCGTGGCCACCTCCCTGTCCCCAACTCCTGCTCTGAGCTCCAGCGCCCTTCTGCATTGACAGCCCAAGGACCACCAGCGTGTGTCACTCTTATGCTTAAAGCCCTGCGAGGCTAACACAGACCAGCTCTTATGCATAGCTGCCACGGTGGGCCGGGCCCTGGGGCCGTCAAACCCAATGTGGCACCACAGTCCTTCCTTGCAGACAAAGAAATGAAAGCTCAGGGAGTATATGACCACTGGGGAGTGGCAGAGCAAGACTACAGGCCAGCCCAGGGCCCGGCCCCGCCCTGCATCATCTGCCCACCTCCCAAACCAGCTACTGCCCGGCTGCTCTGTTCCTCCTCATCCCCCGAGGACCACCTCCAGCCTCACCACGGAAGCTGCCCAAGCCAAAGTCACAGCGACCTATATCTTGCCCAGCCCAAAGGTCAGCCCTTCTAGCCTCTTACCTTGGTGCTGGGCCCCCCCCCCACATCTAATGCCCCCAGGGCATTTGTGCTGGTTTCCTGGACACCCCATCTGCCCCCACCGCCAGGGGCTCTGCCTTCCTCCTCCTGAGACCACGGGAGAGGCAGTGGCCTCCCCCTTTCCTCTGCTCCTCTCCAGCTATGCTCACTGCTTCCCAGACGTTCTGGGATGTACAGCCGGGGGCCATGATTGGAACTGTGTTCCCAGATAACTGGCTTCCTTTGAAACCTCTTGTAGCTTATTTTCTGCCTTTAAAGACTTGGTTCGGAGCAGTCCGGTGACCTCATTGGCCAAGGGCCCTGGACAATGTCACCTGGCCCCACAGTGACCTGCCCAGCATGAAACCCCCAGCCAGGCCCAGCCCTTGGATGCTCGGCGCCTGTATTCAGCTGCCTGGCCTGCGTGCCATTCAGCAGTCTGAGAAGAGCTGTCCCCTGCTGCCTCCCTGTTCCGGCCACAGCTCCAGCCTCCCGGATGCTCCCACGAAACCCCGGGCATTCTGCCAGGGGGCTTCCACTACCAAACCTGCCCAGGACTGCCCACCGAGCCCCACTGGCACTCCGTTCCCCCAGTCACATCCTCCCGCACGGGCATCCAGCTCTCTAAGGAGAAGCCAAGATGCTCCGAAGGCCGAGAACTGCACAAGACCCACCGGCCCTCTGCTAGGATGCCCAGCACACGTCCACCCCGCCCGCGGCCTGCAATGCCCTTTGACACCCTTGGGGCTCACCGCGCCCCTCCTGGAATCTTGAACACGGCTCCCTGGTCCAGGTGACCCCCAACCTCCTGGTGAAACAGAGACCCCAGCCCACCACAGACCCTTCCCCGGCATTGTTTCCCGATGAGCTCCCTTGTGACTGTTGGCCCCTTCCTCTGCCCCGAAGGCAGCCTCTTGACAATGGGTCTTTGTTGTTGTTTTCACTGCGTGTCCCTGGTGCCCGCAGCACCTTGCGGGCGCGCTGTAACCAGCTGCTGGCTACAGGCTTGGTGTGGCCGAACCACCTTCAGTCCCCACATTTCAGCTCCCAACCATGTCTCCAAACAGCCCACTTGGCTCACTTTTCCTCCGTGTAGCTCGCGTCCCCGGAGGCCCCACAGACCCCGCCGCAGGCCAGAGCAGCCCACTGCCCCTTTAGCACGTCTGCCTGCAAAGATGGAAGGACCCTCCCCAAGCCAGGAATTAACATTCCTTCATCCTGGGAGAAATCCGTCGTTCATCCCTTCACTGACACTCAGCAGGTCCCTCCCAGGCGCCAGGCACGCGGGCCCTGGGACCCAGGACAAAGTCCTCAGGCCGCCCGCCCGCAGCACACACATGCAGCAACCTTATCCCAATGCATTTGGCTTCCCTGGTGGTGTGCTCCAGGGGCAGGTGACCACACCGGGGGCAGGTGACCGCGCCGGGGGCAGGTGACCGTGCCGGGGGCTGGTGACCGCTCCGGGGGCAGGTGACCGCGCCGGGGGCAGGTGACCGTGCCGGGGGCTGGTGACCGCTCCGGGGGCAGGTGACCGCTCCAGAGGCAGGTGACTGGGGTAGCCCTGCAGAGATGACCCTCTCCCCCCGCCCGCCCTCTGCCCAGAGAGCTAGTGGAGGTCCTCTCCCAGCCGGGCACTCACCTGCTGCGCCATCCCCGCCCTGATCCTGGGTCAGGCTGGTGAGGCAGTTCTCAGGGCCGCCAGCCATGCCGTCCCTCAGGCAGACATCCCCGCGGGGGGCCAGGGAGCCGGGGGCAGGGTCGCCGGTGTCCCCGCCCACGCAGGCACAGGGGGTCTGCATGATGCCGCAGGGGTGGGAGCTGCGGCTGCCCGCCAGACAGGCATCCAGCCAGCGGCACAGCATCTGGCAGGCGGCCCGGCTGGGGTTGCGGTTGCCCACGACCAGGTACTCCACGGAGAAGTCGTCGCTGGGGCCCGGGGGACCCCCCAGCAGCCGGGGGCCTCGGTCCAGAGGTGGCTGCTGGCGCAGCATCTGCAGGAACTGCTTGCTGGCCTGCAGGAAGGCCAGGGGCGCCGAGGGGTCACAGAGCTGCAGTACCTCATCGAAGCTTTCCACGCCCAGGTAGGTGCGTGTGGACTCCAGGAAGGAGTCGAACTGGTAGGTGCGGACGCGGCCAGGGCCGCCACAGGGCGTGGGCGCCTTGGCCACCTTCATGTAGAGCGTGTAGCGCCGAGGGTCAGGGTTGCGCAGGGTCCAGGAGCAGCGCGAGGCGTTGGCGGGGAACACGGCGGCCGCCGAGAAGTAGCCGAAGAACTTGCCCTGCACCAGCGTGGCACACGGCTCGGCCCCGGGCCCCGCGTCTGCCCCCATGGCCGCCCGCGCCCGGCGCCCCAGCACCAGCAGCACCAGCAGCAGTGGGGGGCACAGGGTCCGGAGGGGGCCCGGGGCGGCGGCCTGGCCCCTCATCCTAGCTCGCGGGGCCGCCGGGGTTCCGCGGGCTGGGCAGGCAGGCGCGGGCCAGGCCTTGACATGCCAGGGTCCGGCAACGGCGGGGCCGGGCGGGGCAGGAGCTTGGGGTGGAGGGCAGGGCAGCAGGAGGGGAACGCTTCCGATGATCTCGAGGGCAGCAGTGGCTCCTAAAGTTCGGGGCCCTGACGCGGGCCTGTGTCTTCAGCGGCAGCTGGAAGAAGAGCAGAAGAAGGGAGAGGGTGAGCCCCCCCGGGAGACTGGGACCCTGGGCATGCTGCGGCCGGGCCCCACTGCCCAGCCTGGGCTTTGGGCGGCTGACGTAGGGCTTGGCGTGTCTCCCAGGCACCTGCCCGGTCCACCCATGTCTGCCTCCTGCCAGTGTGTCCACCTGTAGGGGGCCAGGGGGCCTCCTCCTCCAGCCTGGCCGGAGCAGGGAGGGATGGGCAGCACCGGGCCGGGGGCCGCGTGTCACTGGGGCCTTCGCTGTGCCTGTGTGGCTGAGCAGCCCGGCGTGGCTCCCGTGGACTCCGGGCTTGCCTGCTTGCTCCTGTCATGGCCACAGCCGCCGTTCACCCCCGGGGGCCTCTGGTGGGGGGCCTGGCTCTCTCTCCTGGACACATCCTGGGTCTTTGTCCTCTCGGGCTCTCCTCCTCCCCATCCCCTGCCTTTCAGGGAAAAACCCACAGACCTCAGCGGAAGGAAGCGGAGGGGGCTGTGGAGGGGAGAAGTCACTCCCTCCATCCCCCAGGGCTGCGGGTGCTTGCCCCTCGCCCGGTGCCTCCTCACCCCACTAGGACTGTGACACTACCAGACGGGTCACTGCCGCCTCTCAGGCCGCCTCCCTCCCCCTCCTCCCACCCTGGGCACCCACTGGCCCCGGGGCCCTGCAGCTCTGGGCAGGGAGGGCTGGGGACGGAGCCACCCAAAACCACATACATCCAGGCTTCAGCCGACACTAAGCCCTTGCCTCACCCCTTCTTTGCCAGGCCGGCACTGGGACCCCCGGCTTCCGCATGGGAAGACCCAGGCTATAAGGGTAAGTGACTCACTGGAGGTCACAGTGAGGGGTAAGAGAACCCACCGTGAACTTCCCCCACTGACCCCAGCCCGTGCCACAGCCCACGGAGTCCCCTCCCTGCTCTGGGAGAGGGTGCTGGCCGCATGCTGGGGAGGGGCGGCAGCCGCCAGCCCCTCAGTGCAGGGACAGCGGAGCCGCTCTGGGCTCAGAAATGGGCAATGCCCCTCCTGGACTTGACACCACGTGCACCCTGGCAAGTTCCTTCTGCCTCCAGACCTCAGTTTCCCCACCATCGCCAAGGCCACAGCCTGGGTCAGCTGTCCGTCCCACGCAGCAGCTGAGCCGGTGGGTGAGGAAGGAGAGCTGCCACCGGCACCCCAGGCAGCCCGGCCTCCCCTCTGCTGACCTTGCACGTGCCGGCCGCCTGCCCACAGGGACACACTGCTTCCTGCTGCCCAGGCCCAGCTGGCTGGTGTCCTTCCTGCACCGGCTGTTGGCGGAGCAGGGAGCTGGGAGCAGGCGGCCCTGGGCCCTGGGCAGACCCAAGTGGGGGTGCCTGGACTCGGGCTGTCCCCTCCTGGCCGTGTGGCCTCGGGCGAGTCTCTTGCCGCCCAGCTTCGCTTCCCCATCTATAAAACGGGGGGTGAAGCCTCACTCTCTCAGCAAGAGAGTAAGAGCTAGACCTGGGGGTTTTCCCGTGTTCGGGGCAGGAGGTGACTCTAGAGGGGAGAGGAGGCTGGAGTGGGGCTCTGGATCTGGGGTAGCTGGGCCAAACCCGGTCCTCTGGGGGCTCTTTCGTGGCAGACATTTAGGTGCCCGGAGAAAAGAATTTGCAAACTTCTCATCCTGGCACCTCTGGGCAGAACTGAGCAGACTCTGCACTTGGCCCTTGGTCTCCCACTGCCTCTAGACCACTTGGGGCCGGACTTGGATGTGGACATAGCAGAGCCCCCTGGTCCTGGCCACCTGCCCCCACATTATGGGGATGCAGAGGCCATGGCCAGGGTCCTACAGCCAATCCCAGACTTGGTCGGTCCCCTGCAGGCTTGCTGCAGAGAGGTGGCAGTGTGTTCCGAAACCTCTCCTGAGCCTCAGCCCCCACTGCAGCACCCCCACCCCCCCACGCCAAGTCCCAGGCTGGGACCTAATGTGGAAGCCAGCCCCCAGCCTGGGGGCAGACTCTCCCTAACGCTCCAGGCCCAGGGGGATGCTGGCAGAACCCAGCAGAAACTGACCTCCACATACATCTGCCCACCTTGCCGCGCCCCATCACTGACCCCAGTGGGACTGCACAGTCTGAAATGACCCAGGCCAGGGCCCCCCTCAGCCACAGCCCCTCATCCCAGCCCCTGGCAGCCCATCCCATAACCTTCCCACAGAGGAGGGCTGGGAGCGGGTGCAGGAGGTGGCCTGAGGGCCTGTGTCAGGCACGGGGTCCTGTAGGGCCTCTGTCATCCCATCTGGAAGAAGTAGATGCTCAGCCATGTGGTGCTGGGGATGACAGCGTGCCTCTGCGCTCCACAGCTCCGTGGATTCGGTGGCCTGCGCTGGTGGGGACATTCTGCGGAGCTCTGTCCTGTGCCCGGCATTTTGTGTTGACGGCAGCGAACTGTAACCTGGGGCACTTTGTTAGGGTTCCATTTGGGACCCCAGAGGAGCCAGCCTCAGTGGGACTCGTAGGTGCCGGGTGCCTGAGCCAGGATCCACAGCCTGGTCTGCCAGTCGGAGCTGGCCCCTCAGCGCCGCACCTGACCCGATGCCTGTCCCAGGGCCGCGGGAGCCAGGCCGAGCCGCGGTCCTCCGGGCATCCCTACCACCAGCCCTCATCGTCGCTGGCGCACTCCACTCTTTGAGCACCTGCGGGGCGGTGGGGGGCGGTGCAGGGGCGGCCTGCCCGCTGTGCCCTGCACACCAAGAAGAGGTGGCAGGGAGGGTTGGAGGCAGGGCCGTGCCCCCAAGAAGGGCAGCCCTGCAGTCCGTCGGGGAGAGTGG